AGAACTGGTATAGTTAGGACGCGTATGACGGCGCGCATGACGTATAAAATTAGACGAACGCGAACTGCGGCGAACGTCTCGCTTTGCCATCGGTTACGTTTTATGGAAATCGCGTCGTCGTCGTAAAACGATCGTAGTAGGATAGGTATTTATCGTTGGCTTACGGTCGAACAAACGGTGAAATTCTTCTTCCTCCGGGTTGTAAATTCCAAGTTCACCGCTGCTGTTGTTGCTGCGTGGCTTTCACACCGCGCTGCCCCCGCCAAATTAATTTTGCAACGACTTGTTCGCAATGCGCGGTAAATGGACGTTACGTTGCTAATGCAAATGAACGAGTGAGAGAAATGCTAAAAAGCTCAAAGGGATATATCGAACGATCCTCCGAACGAGAATCCGCTGCAAGATTTTATCGGTCTAACGAACGCCGAATTATCGTAATCGATTAATTCGTAACCGTCCGCGAGTAACCCAACTCGTTGTTTACGTTCTCGCTCGTGAATTTTTATGCCTGCTGAGAAAGATCTCCGAGATTCCTTCGAGGAATTCAAGATTTCTAGGACCGTTTAATGATCTCTAAACATTCGCTAAATTTAGTGATTTACTTATTGGAGTTTATTTCGGTACGGTAAAGACTTTATTCGATTATTCGATTATTCGAATTTACGTTCGCTTGCGAAGAGTCGAAGGATATGCACAATGTAGCCAAGAATTCTGTATTTTTGTTGCAAGAGACTGAGGTCCTGTAAGAGTATGTCATCATGCTTGAAAATATACATGTAAATGGTCTTTGTCGAATGTAAGACAATGCTAATCAGCATGCTTCTAACATCCTTCCAGCGTCCTTAATTGCGTAATTAGGATAAAGTGAACGATACCTAGCCAGACGTGAAATTTTCAAGCGATTAAAGCAAAAGTTGCGAAATTTTCGGGCCGGTTATATTAATAATTAATTAAATTAAAAATTTAACGAACCTCTGTTACTTTTAACTGTTGCCACTGCGCGAATATACCTCTCTGCTCGAAAATCTCGACTTTTTCCCAGTTATCTCCAAACGAATGGTCAAACAGCGAGTGAAATAATTGTATAATTCATGAAAAATATTTCTTTGCTAATCACTTCATTTGCAATCATGTACGAAATTTACGTGAATTTCGTTGAGAATTGTTTTGCGTTTGTCGACACAGATTCACATCGAGAATGTCAATCATTTTCAATCTTTCAACAAGTTTTCGCAACGACAGTATACAGCGGTTGTCGCGTCTCTTCTCTTTACAATAGACTCTAGGCGTTTTCAGTCAAGGTCGATATCACATAGCCTCTCAGCCGCCATACTTGTATAATGGAAGAGAATATATCGGTAATCCTTCTATCCCTCGCCTGTATTTCTTTCATTCGATGATACTTGCTTCTCCCTCCCTGCTGTTCAATCGAGTTATTAAGCTCTTTGTTTAACGACGGTCGAGAGCGACTTGTTAAAATTCCCGAGATATCCGCGATCACTGTTCGTTCGTTCGTTCGTTCGTTCGTTCGTTTCGTTCCAACTGCCTGCATCTGGATATATCCAGATTGTTCATCCTTTCCTCCTCGCTTCCCATAAATAAATCACAATGGAGTCGATTGGAAGACGAGGTAAGCGTAGCGGTAGCAGTTTGCTGCTAGTTAATATTTAATATTTAATGAGGTGTTTCTCTACAGTAGCGAGATATTAATTTTAATAATCGCGCTTTTAATAAATCGCAAAGACGCGGATCGATAAAAACTTCGCTAAAAAGTATATTCGCGATGAAACGTCGTGTCCACGTTAATTAATTAATCCCTGTCCGACGAAGAACAGAGTTTCGACTTCTCGTTTACACGACTTTCGAAGTACGTGTAAAAATTGTACGTTATTAATTAATAATTGCATGTGTATTATACGTAGGAAGATGCGGCAAACGCCGAGTGGGTTGACGCATCTCTCTCGGTCTAAACGACTCGGCTAAAGTCGATTTCGAAAAAGGAAGCCGGCTAGTTAAGTTAAAAATTAAATCGGAAACTCGTGCGTATCTGGCGGACGGCAGTGTCGAGAGCGGACACGGACTGCTTCACCTACTTTTTTTTCGCCGAGAGAAGAGCAGAGTTTCGGTAAATCGGTCACATCTCTTGATCCTCGGGGAGCTGAAGATTCTACACGGGATCCTAATCTGCGGCGAAGACAGCTGTAACTTGACGCACGGCTCGCTCCTTCCGGCATAAGTTCCGGCGGATTCTGCTCCCCGGACAAAGAAAAACCGAAAGGAAGGAAAGAGGATGAGAGAAATAAAATATTCTCTCCAGAGACTATGCACAGCTGCGAGGGCACATCATGGCCATCGTCGAGAGGAAGGAGCCGTAGCTCCGGAATATAAGGCGAGAGAGTTTAAGGTCGGGGCAGTTGCGCTTCGCTCGCCGGCGTATCACTCTTTCACGCAGAGATATTTGCAATTTGGATCTGTGTTAAAGTAAACTTGAACTGCAGCTGCGAGAGCAAATACACGTATGTTTGTTGCGTTAGTCGGCAACTGTGTTTGAAGTTCGCTGCAACGTGATGCAATCAGCAGCAGCCTGGTGAATAACTGCACGCTCATTTCGGAGTGGATAGCTATTAGGATATCGTGTCAGAATGTTTTTACACATTTTTGAGGATAGTCGGTATTAACCCGAGTTTGCCTGATTTCCCTCGGTGTGTGCGTAAGTTGCCTTGTGAATGAGTTTAGCAAGTGACGCTGGCTTCTTTTTTTTTTTTTTTTTTTTTTTTTTTTTTTTTGG